TGTTGTCTTTTATAAATAAGCTAAATCAATTTCTAGGTGATTACGTGCCCGCTTAAGAGTACTACCTTAGGCAATGTGGCAAGTGGAAATTTGCCGCATTAAAGATACTAATTAATATACTTGGATTTATATATGACACTGTAGAATTGTTAGATCTGGAAAAAAATTTGAAATGTTATAGGAATTTTAACATTTTTTTTAATTTATCATATGAACTAATATTTAAGCGATTTGTCATATCAACTCTATTAAGTTTTCTATCTAAAATAAATCACGTACTTGGGGAGCCAACTAATGTGCATTGAGATCCCTTAACCCCAATAAATTTGGGAATATACTCTTATGAGTTTTTTATTTTTAAACAAACGATATTATTTATACTAAAGAGAAATTATGAGCTTAACGTTATAATGGACTAATAATGTGGTTCAAATGAAATGGAATGTTGTTTTCGCTACACAGCAAAAAGAAAACCAGACTAGAATAAAAGGAAAGGCAAATGCCTCTGCCTTTCGGTGCCTAAAAAGCAGAGACGAATGAAAGCCATTTTGATGCCTTTTGTGGTTATTAAATGCAAAGGGGAGAGGTGAGGGCGACACTCGTTGAAATGTCTGAAATTACTCCTGAACATAAGTTATGGGTGCCTTGCACATGAGTTATCTTGAATGAAAAATTTAACGAAGTTAGAGTTAGATGAAAAATTAATGATTCAGAAAGTTAGTATAACAAATCGTTTAAATTTTTAGTTCATATATCATAAATTGAAGAAGGTGTATAATTTCATTTAACATTTCAAAAAATTTCTCTTGGTTTTATTGGTTGACGTTGACTTTGAAGTCTTGATTGTCTTAATTCATGACTTTTGATAAATTTTAATTGATTTCTAGATATTTTTATAAGACAACATCGCGTTCAAGTCTGACTGCATTGCTTTCCTATCCTCATTTTCCAGTGGCTATTGACTAATTAAGGCAATACATAGTCAATACAAACAGAAATGACTATCTTAGCTCAGCTGAAACCCTGATAAAGTTGAACTGTGAACGTGTGTTTATGCACTTTGTTTATCGGAATGTGTAAAACAATTGTCCTATATTTTATAAAGTTCTTCAAAGTCCAAATTATAGTTCTCACGCGTCAATTGACAAATAAATAAATAATCAAAATGTAAGCTATGCATATACCAAAAGTACTCTGACCTCTTATCATCAATAATTCAACAATTATTATTATTCAGAATATGCAAAACATGCTTCAAAATTCAAATCATGCCATACAGAATATCGTAAATAGATATTTTGGTTTTTATAAGGCAAAAGAGGAAAGCGCTGACGATCAAAAGAAATGTTTATCCACAAATTTCAACACAAAAAAACGAAACGACTTTCAAGCTCCAAAAGGACGTTTAATAATCATTCTTTTTTCATTTTTCATTTTTTATTTTTTTCAAAAATTAAAAATTCGTTTGGTAACTTAAGCGAGCCATACTACAGAAAACGTGGTGATGGTAATGTATATATAGCGGGTATAATTTTGTGGTTTGCTTGACTTGTTGACTTCAAAGTCTTTCCCCACATCCCTTGTGGGGTTTAAACTGTAGGTTGTTTTATTCAATGTTGACAGACTATTGAGTGAAAAAGAGAGGGTAAAATTTCGCCCCTGCAGAGGGACTAAAACTTCACGAAACAGTGTATACCCCACGTTCAAATATGCGTTATACTTCTAGATTCATATAAGAGCAATAAGAGTTAGTTTGAAACTATTTTTAAAACGATTAAAAGCATTTTTAAAAGAAAAAAAATATTTTTAGAATCAATCTTCAGTAAAAACAAAAGTGAATATTGGAAAATCACTTGAAGTGATGCTTCTTCTACAAAGCACTTCAATTATTTTTAAGACTCAATAACGTTCTCTAAAAACGCTTTCAATAATTTTAAAAACACTTCCAAACAAAGCATAAGTCTCTCTTTTACAAGGCTACAAGTGAGGTAAGTAATGAAATCATGTTTAATTTTTTTGGTTGGATGCGGCATTCTACAAAAGCGATTAAAGTGATGCTACTAACTGGATAAATTGAACAAATACTTTAGATTAGCTTCCGTATACATACATACATATATATATATGTATATATATATGTATACATACATATATATATATATGTGTGTGACATCCCACATCGCCCAGGGAAGTGGATCATGTAAGTCTTATATGTATATTCTCATCTCTACCTAGCACGAGACCTTTTGGGAGCTCACTGGTTTCGGATTCCGTAAGAACTCCGAAGTTAAGCGAGTTCGCACGAGAGCAATCCCATGATGGGTGACCCACTGGGAAGTTCTCGTGTGAGTTCCCAGAAACAAAACCTTGAATGCGTGTTCGGGGCCCAAAGCGGACAATATCGTGTTACAGTAGAGTCGAGCTCGGGATGTGGTGGGGGCCCGGGCCGGGATGTGACAATTTGGTATCAGAGCTAATCCCTGGCTGGAAGTGTGCCGACGAGGACGTCGGGCCCTTAAGGGGGGTGGATTGTGACATCCCACATCGCCCAGGGAAGTGGATCCTATAAGCCTTATATGTATATTCTCATCTCTACCTAGCACGAGGCCTTTTGGAAGCTCACTAGCTTCGGGTTCCATCGGAACTCTGAAGTTAAGCAAGTTTGCACAAGAGCATTCTCAGGATTGGTGACCCACTGGGAAATTCTTATGTGAGTTCCCAGAAACAAAATCGTGAGGGCGTGGTCGAGGCCCAAAGCGGACAATATCGTGTTATGGTGGAGTCGAACCCGGAATGTGGTGGGGGCTCGAGCCGGGATGTGACATACATATTTCAATTCTATATATTCCAAAAAAAAACTACATATGCATAACTTAACTAAGTACAAATTTGAAAAATACCCAAATGGTTTTCTGTTTTAAAAATACTGTATCTTTTTATATATATTTTTCTTGGTTAAAAACTTCATTTCTTTAACATATATCTTTCTTTAAATTCTTCTGTATCTATTATTCAGTAGAAGATATTATGTTACAAAGTTGACTTTCAGACTAAGTTTTGTACTTCTATAAATATGCCATAGAAGAAAAAAAAATCTTTTAAACACACAAAAAAAAAAGTCTTGTGCTTGAAAGGGCCACATTTTAATTTTCACACAGTGCCCCATTTTATTGAACTGTGGTTTGTTGTGATGTGATTGTAAGTTGAATTTCAGTTCCGCACAACCATTTAATCTCCCATTTTCCCTGATCTCAAGTACAAATAAATGAAAACTACAAACAAAAAAATAAAATAATTTCCAAGCTCCAATAAACTGTTTAATAATCATTTTGTTTTTATATTTTCTTTATCTTTTTTTTTTTGAAAATCAAAAACTTATTTAATAACTACTTTTAATTTTAAAAAATAATTATTATCAAATGGATTCTAAATAACTGAAGTGAGTCAAACGGATTGACGTGTGTACGTATGGCTTTTACTTCTTAGAGACGCTGAGAAAAACGTGGTGATGGTTTCAAGTTTGAGGTTTGCTTGACTTGTTGACTTCAAAGTCTTTTTCCCCATATTCCTTGTGGGGTTTCAATTGTGGGTTGTTTTTCAATGTTAACAAGAGAGGGGCTAAAACTTCACGCAAGGGAGTGTGTTCCCCACGTTCAGATACATGCATCATCTTCTCGATTTTATTTAATAGTTTGTTTAGAAGTATTTTTAAAATAATTGAAAATCTTTTTAGTAAAAATAATTTTGGAATCAATCATTAGTAAAAACGCAAATGAATCTTGAAAAAAAAATATTTGAAGTGGTGCTTCTTCGATCCAAAAAGCATTTCAAGTGCTTTTGGAATCTAAAAACATTTTCTTTAAAAGCGTTTTCAGTTATTTTAAAAGCACTTTCAAACTCTGATTAAGTATCTCTTTTACAAGGCTACATGTGGGGTAGTTAATAAAATCGTGTTTAATTCTACAAGCGGATTAAAGCATTTCATGATAACCATTTCATTTTGACTTTGGTTTTCACTTTTGTGTGCTTGATATATGAAGAAAGTTTACGGAGAGAGGTCTTAACAAATTCAAACATAAAGATCGCAAGTATCTCATGACGATGTCCAGAATTTGGAAGGCGTCCATTCCATGTTGATGCTGATGACAATTCTGCTTTGTATCCACCATTAAAAGGTGGACTCCATAATCCTTCGTTTCTTGTAACGGAATCTATTGGAAATGTCGAAAGCTGAGTACCCGTTGAGATCCTACCGACGAGCTAATTATTTGAGAGATTCAAAAAGCGAAAGGAAAGTAAGTTTCACACACTGTGGTGGAACTCGACATGTCCACACTACTTGTTGAGTTTTAAGTATTTGTTTTTATTATCTTTCATAAAGAAACAACAATACAAGAATACAAGATGTATAGGGCAAGGTGTGATCAACACACTGATCACCCTTAAATCATTCTTACACGGCAGCTCCATAAAACAGGGAGCAGAAATAAGGTGAGGCAAAAAGCTTCTAACCACCCTAGAAGTATGGGAAAGAAGATACAAGATCTAACTAGAAGTAAGGTGACAACTGCATGCATATCGTCTACCTAACCAATAGCTATGGATACCCACTCTTGACTTTTATTAGATGATATGGGATGACTGATGCTGCATCTACTAATTCTGCATATAGAATACCCACTCTTGACTTTCAATACTCCCCCTCAAGCTGGGTCTAGAATGTTGATGGAACCAAGCTTGGATAGAAAACGCTTAAACTTATTGAGGTAATGGTTTGGTGAAAATGTCAGCTAACTAATCAGCACTTCTTGTGTAGAGAGTTTGAATCACTTGAGTTTACACTTGAGCACGGACATGGTGACAATCAACCCCAATATGTTTTGTTCTTTCATGGAACACTGGATTGGAAGCTATATGCATTGCAGCTTGATTATCACAGTACATTGACATAGGTTGCTTTGTTTGAAACCCCAAATCACTCAACAAACCCTTAAGCCATATTAATTCACATGATGTGATGTCATCGATCTATACTCAGCTTTTGCACTTGATCTTGCAATGACACTTTGCTTCTTACTCTTCCATGTTACCAGATTTCCTCCCACAAATGTGCAATAACCTGAGGTGGACTTTTGATCTATTTGGTTTCCTGCCCAATCAACATCACAGTAACCAACAACTTGAGTGTTATCATTCCTCTTCATGAGAATTCCTCTTCCAATTGATCCTTTGAGATATCGAAGTACTCTCTTAACGAGGTTGAAATGTTCTATTGTAGGTGCATGCATGAATTGACTAGCTAAGCTCACTGCAAATGTAATATCTGGTCTTGTGATAGTTAAATAAATGAACTTACCAACAAGTCGTTGGTAGTAACCGATATTAGGTAGAGGTTTGCCTTCCAAGTTGAGCTTGAGCTTGCTATCAAGGGGAGTTTGAACTGGCTTGGCATCCTTCATGTTTGATTCCGTGAGAAGATCGAGGATATATTTCCTTTGGCTAAGAAATAGCCTTTTACTTGATGTGGCCATTTCTATCCCCATAAAATATTTTAACCTTCCAAGATCTTTGATGGAGAACTTCTATTGTAGAGAGACCTTGAGGTTTGCGATTTCATTAGCATTGTCCCCAGTGATTATTGTGTCATCAACATAGATCAACACAACAAGTTTGCCAACCACTCATGTTTGAACAAACATGGATGAGTTTGCATGACTTCTTTGAAAACCAACTTCTTCAAGAACCAAGCTGAGCTTGGCATATTAGGCTCTTGGGGATTGTTTTAATCTATAAATGGATTTGTGCAACCTACACACCATGCCAAGCTCATTGTATTGAGGATGTCCTGGTGGAAGTTTCATGTAAACCTCCTCTTCAAGGTCACCATGTAAGAATGCATTCTTCATATCCATTTGGTATAAAGCGCATCCTTTATTCACAACAACAGACAATAACACCCTCATAGTGTTCATCTTGGCAACTGGAGTGAATGTTTCCTTGTAGTCCATGTCATATGTTTGAGTGAATCCTCTAGCCACCATCCTAGCTTTGTGCCTTTCAATCGATCCATCTGAGTGGAATTTGATCTTGTAGATCCACTTACTACCAACTGCCGTTTTTCCTAGTGGAAGTCTAACTACACTCCAGGTGTTATGATTAGTGAAAACACGAAACTCTTCCTTCATGGCATTTCTCCACACTTCTTAATAGTTTGCTTTTTGAAATGTTTGAGGCTCACAGTGACTAGTGATGGTGTTCAAATAGGCAGCATAAGATTTTGAAACTTTCTGGTAAGACATGAAACCACTGATTGGATGACTTGCTGAATAAGTCAAATAATCTTGAAGTCTTGTAGAATGATGCCTAGCACATACCGGATTTCTTTTGCCTTGAAACTGTTGTGTTTCTTCTGTTGAGCTTTCTTGCTCTTCATGAGGAAATTCTTCATTATGCATTTGTTAGTCAAGATTGTGATTACTATCTTGAGTTTCATCAACTGCAACAAGAATTAAGAGGTTGTATCTCGAAAGATAGTTCCTTAGCCCTTGGTAAGGGAAAAAACTCAAAACATGACTCCCCATGTGACTGATCTTTAGACAACTTGTTGAAAAAGGGGTTAGGTTCATCAAATCGTACATCCCTTGAAACTACAACTCTCTTTAACTCAGGACATAGCACTTGTAACCTTTTTTAGTAGATGAGTAACCAAGAAACATGCATTTGTTAGCCCTAGGGTCCAATTTATACCTATGTTGTGGTTGAATATGAACACAGCATGTGCATCCAAAGACTTTAAGATGTGACAGACTAACATCGCTTCCTTTTAACACTTACATTGGAAATTTGAACTCCAAGACTCAACTTGGTAATCTGTTTATGATATATGTAACTGTCATGACCCCTTGGGACCAAAATCTTTTTGGTACTTTCATGTGCAACATTAGAGCTCTTATTTTTTCAAGTAGATCACAATTCTTTCTCTCGGCTAGACCGTTTTGTTGTGGAGTACCAACACAACTGGTTTGATGCAAAATTCCATTACTGCTTAAATATTGTTTCATGATGTGTGACATATAATCTGATAAGATTAAAAGCACACCACAAAGTAGTACACAAATGTCCTATTGATTTTCCTTATTAACACTAAGATTTGTCAATTGTAGGATATGAAAATAAGGGTCTTTCCCGCAGAAGATTATTTTATCTAACTACTTAAAATGTCACAAAAATTGGGTTGTTATCCCTACTGACCAGTCACCAAAAAAATAATTATTAGACCAACTTGCACTTATCTAAAGTCTACGAAATTTTATATGAAGATACTAGACACACAGAGCTACACTCATACAAAGTTTTGGGATTTTTGGCATTGATTTTCTATTTAAATTAAATCGAACAAAAACAGGACAGAAACATATTTTAAGTAGTTCAAATTAAGAACAATGAGTTAGGGGAATTGCTATCCACCACCAAATAATCATGCAAACATGTTATGTTTCATTTAAATTCCTTTTATTTCCGGATGAAGATGCTCAAGTTGGCTCAATGTTAGAACTCAACCTATTACTCTTTCTTATGTAGTATGTTAAGAGAATGGCATTTTCAACTTAACTTAGTCTCTAGCATTCAATCTAGAATGACGTGTTCATAGATTTAACAAGTATAAATCATTAAGAACGAAAAGTGTTTAAGTCATCACAAGGCATCGTAAGTACTAGCGTTGTCTTACTTATCCTAGAAATTGGTTCACATGTTAATCGCAATTAACAAGTACCACTCTAAAACATATGTAGGTCCTCATTCGACAAGGGTAGGCACACACTATTCATAGCATTTGAATCCTAGATATGCTTACTAAAGTATGCATCCGTAGAAAACACATAAAGAATTCATCACTGACATAAGTAGTGAACCAATTTTCATCCATTTATAAAAGTGATTCAAACGAAATGTCATAACAAACTTGCAATCATATTCGGGGCTTCAAAACAGCCCCTAACTACTAAAATTTAGTTACACATACTCCTTAAGTTAAAACAAAAGATAGACATGAGTTTGAGAAGATAGAACCGAAAGAAATCAACCGAGGCCTCCTCCTCCTCCTCCTTCTTCCTTCCCCAACGCTGCTTTTAAACCAATTATTGCTGCATCATTTTCTTCTCCTTAACTCGCCCACTAATAGCCATTTAGTGATGACAATAAGTGAGAGGAAATGGTAAAACAATTGTAACTCTTTGGGTAGCCTTTATGCCAATTACTCCCTCTTAATCCTCATCTTTAATTCCATTCCCTTTTATATTTGAATAAGTGTCAGCTGGCTTGTTCTTGGCTGCATCAGTTTTGGCGGCTAGATTTATTGGGTTTATTGCTTTCATTGCATTTACAAATTGATCAGCCTCTTGGTAACCTTTCAGTGTTAAAATGGCCATAACTTTTTCTAGACAAATGATATTAACAATCCGCGAAATGCTCTAGAAAATAGACATCCGTAGATTTCCAAGCATATAAGGCTAATTCATTCTGAGCTGTCTGCAACTTGCTTCCAAAGTCAGCTGATCTGCACAAGCAGTTTTGACGAATTTGTTACTTAAAATCCCACTTGTGCTATTTTTCTTTTCTTTGCTTGACAAATCCTACAAAACACAAAAGAAAAGTAAATAGCTCAAAAATATAAGGAACTAACTAAGAAAAAACAAGTGAATTTGATGTAAAATATATATATATATATATGAACCTATCATATTTTGAGCCATTATCATATCTCAAAGTTTGAATTTGGGAATTGAAATGATTTTTGACAAGATTATGAAACTCTATGAATGCTTCAACAACTTCACTCTTAGATTTCAAAAGGTATAACCAAGTAACTCTCGAGAAATCATCTATGAAAGTTACAAAGTACTTATACCCATCAAAAGATTCTTAAAATGGCCCCCATACATCTAAATGTACAAGTTCAAAAACTTGTTTAGTCCTATTTGAGGATAAACCAAAAGGTAACCTAGTGGCTTTACAAAAATGACATGTATCACACTAGATCACTTCTTTACAAAGATTTAGAAACAATCTTGACAAAATAAGCTCGGAAGGATGAGCTAATCTTTGATGCCACAAGGTTTGGTCTTGACTTAGGTTAGACTTGACTTGAAATTCCTTGAGAAATGATGTATCCTTGGATAGGTAATAGAGACCATCTAAGAAAAAATCTTCACCAATCTTCTGCTTAGTGATACAGTCCTGAAAAATGACAGTATAAGGGGAGAAAGTAACTGAACAATTTAATGCATGTGTGATTTTTCCAACTGAGAGAAGTTGAAAAGGAAATGAAGGAACATACAAGGCTTTAGACTCTATATTGTCAGACGCTAGATTTATTTTTCCCATTCCTAACACTTTAGCTTCATCCCCATTAGCAACTAAAACATGTGAAGGTGTGGGAAGTTTTTTAAAATCATGGAGCTTGTAAACTTGGTTGGTCATGTGATTTGTGGCACCAGAATCTATGACCCACAAATCATGCAATTGATTTATATTTAAAGCAGTTTTGAAAGTTGTCAGTATACCTTGCATGTTGTCTTGAGTGAGCTTTTTCGAGTCAACCAAAAAACCTGCAAACTTTCCTAGCATTGCAATTGAGTTGCCATTACCAGAGGTACCGGCTTCATCACTCCCAGAGACTTCCTTCTTCAGTTGAAGGTACGCAGCGAACTCATTTATAAGTGTGGTGGGATTAGAGGTAAAATTCAGAAGATCATCTGAGCCTCTAGTTGACAGGGATGAGGCATGATTAACTTTATAACTGGGAAACTGAGGCTTCTTCTGAATAAACCTTTCATTTTTCATGAAGTCTGGTTTGAGCTCAGGGTGGAGAATCCAACAATTGTCCCTCACGTGTCCCGTGGCATCACAATGTTTGCATTTGAGATGAGGATTTCTTCCCTTGTACTTCTTATCACTGGAGAAATGTTTCTTTTCACTGGAAAAGTAAGCCCTAGCTTCTGAGGCAGTTGTTGAGGTACTAGTGTTCATAACCTTTTTTCTCATTTTTTTCCCTTTAAATTGTTACACAAACATTTGCAAAGGTGGGGAGCTCTAGATTCATGAGAATATGGCTATGCATATCTTCGTATTCTGACCCCAAACTAGTGAAAAGCTGGAAGATTTTGTCTTCTTCAGCCCTTTTAAGAAGCAGGTTTGAGTCCGTTATATGTGGACGGTATACCTCCAACTCATTCCACATACCTTTTAGACTTCCAAGTAGTTGAACAAAAGGTTTTCCATCTTGTTGCATGCTCGCTATATCTCTTTTAAGTTGAAACACATAGGCTGCATTATTCTCATTTCCATACATTTCTTGCACGGACTTCCATAGCTGAAAGGATGACTTAGAGTAGCTGAATATCTCGGCTATCTTTCTCTCCATGGAATTGAGGAGCCAGGACATGACCAACTGATCCTTGCTAAGCCAAGATTCATAGGTGGTAGAGGAAGCATCAGGAGCTTCAGTACTTCCATTTATGAACCCTAGCTTTGATCTTCCTCCTAGGGCAAGTGAAACTGCCCTCAACCATGGTAAGTAGTTGAACTCATTTAGAAGCACAAAACTCAACCTTTGATTTGGATTTACATCAATCTTCGGTTGATTTTAATGACCGGCTCCAAGTGAGCTATCAGCATCGAACTCAAGGATGGGGTTTTCGTTAGCCATGAAAGAAAGCTTGAAGAATAAAGCAACGAGTATCACAGAGACAGGTTATTCCTGCTCTGATACCATGTTGAGTTTTAAGTGTTTGTTTTTATTATCTTTCATAGAGAAACAACAACACAAGAATACAAGATATGTAGGGTAAGGAGTGATCAACACACTGATCACCCTTGAATCACTCCTACACGACAGCTCCATAAAATAGGGAGCAAAAAGAAGGTACGGCAAAAGCTTCTAACCACCCTAGAAGTATTGTTTTTATTATCTTTCATAGAGAAACAACACAAGAATACAAGATATGTAGGGCAAGGCGTGATCAACACACTGATCACCCTTGAATCACTCCTACACGGCAGCTCCATAAAACAGGGAGCAAAAAGAACATACGGCAAAAGCTTCTAACCACCCTAGAAGTATGGGAAAGAAGATATAAGATCTAACTAGAAGTAAGGTAACAACTGCACCCATATGGTCTACCTAACTAATAGCTTTGGATACCCACTCTTGACTTTTATTAGACAATATAGGGTGACTGATGTTGCATATGACTGATGATGCATCTACTGATGCTATATATGATTGATGTTGCATCTACTGATTCTACATATGGAATACCCACACTTGACTTTCAATACTACTAGAATTTTGGCTAACCTCAATTGGTGTCTATTATAAAAAGTGGGCACTTAAATTGGTGGCAAACCTCAATTGCCATCATGTAGCCACCAAATAAGAGTACATGTCCTATGTAGAAGTCTCTATTGTAACAATAGCTACCCTTAATACATTGATGGAAAATATCTCCATCAGAATAGGAAGTCTTCATCCAGAAAAATCAAAGCTATAACAGAGTAAATGTTCATGATATCAAACAAACTGAGCAATATAAACAAAAGAGGAGAACCCGTAAAAGAAAAGAGCTAGGAACCAAAGCCAAAAAAAAGTGAAGACACAGTCAAATGAAGCTCGATTAAATAAAACTGTTTGATTTAGTGTTGCTTGGATCACCAAACAATTCTGTTTTTTGTAGTTTATGATTTGTGTTTTGCGTCAATTTTCGTACTTACGAAAATTTGTGCACAAATATGTCATTTTGATAATGAGTAATGTTGATTCCTGTATCGAAAAGAAGAATAAAAACAATAAAAAAATTGATCGCAAATATGTCGTTCTTATCTACCTTTTTACGATTAAAAACTTGCGACATCAAAATATCAAAAAGTAATAGAACAAGCTCACACTACATCTCGTACTTTATATTTATGTGACAGTAGAAGCAAATGACTTATTTCTTGCCAAACACAGGCCGAACAAGGAGGCCAGCTGCATTGCCCCTCATAACAATTTCAACATCTCGGCCTTTGATTTATGTGAATATGTCTTCGGTGAGGACCAATTCTTTCATCCAAATGAGGGATATCTTAACAAGGATTTTATACTTAGCCATGCAGTACCATTTACTCCGTCTCTTGCACAACACAAATGACCCGACCGCAATTCGAACTTGCATGATGATTCATCTTTGGTCTTCCGTCTTGGATATCACTCGGTACACATGCTATTTTTCTTAGAGCTTGCTGTTGTATTCGTTTTCTCCAACATTGCCCTTCGAAGTCCTTTTTGCTAAAGTACTGGTGAGGTTAGTATTAATACATCAGACTAGATGTAAATAATATACTTGAATTTTCGGGATATCATCTCTTGCAGGATCCCTCAATGCGACAGCTGCATCTGCATGTTATTAGCCAGGATTTCGATCAACACATTTGAAGATCAAGAAACAGTGGAACTCCTTCAACACTGCTTTCTTTCGAGACTCCATGGATGCAGTAGAGGAAGTCACTAGTGATGGAAATGCAAAGCTAAAAGATGATGATAGCCTGTTGTCGATGGAGCTTCGATGCCACCGATGTAGAAGCGCTCACCCCAACATACCGCGATTAAAATCTCACAATACCAACTGTCGAGGCCCCTTTCCAAGCACCCTGCTCCAAAATTGTCCTCCTGTTCACGCACCGATCAATGTCAGCATTGATCCGTAGGTGTAAAATCCATCGCATCTCATCGAAATTTTGTTGTATATAGACAAATGCTTTTTGGTGGCTTAAACGGTATTGCATTGTGATCCTTGGTATGGCTTTTCATGATTCTCATTCTTCACAAATTTGTGTTCTCGCAGAGGTTAGTAGTAACAAAATGCATTTTCATGATTACCATTTCGTTTTTAGTTGTCGAAATTACAGCGTTTTCGAACTCCATAGTTATCATATATTTAGCTCCCGTTCCTAAATATACACACCAGACATTAGGCCATCTCCAATAGTTGATACTTAGTACTACGGTACGGGTTTAGTAGTATTCTTCTTTACTTGTAAGTGAAAAATTTTAGATTCGATTTTCTCCAAATACGAATTTGAACCTCATTATTGCTAGCTCATTATAAGGTTTGACCTACTCCCCCATCCCCTTAGTGTAGATAATATTGTTTATTAAAAATAAAAATAAAAATTGAATAGAGCATAGCTATAATTTTCCATCTCCAATGGTACAAGGGCTAGATTTTATTCTTCTCAATATTTTATTACTTGTTAGCATATTGAGAAATATTATGGCACATCACTCACATCAACTACTATGTATTGTCTACATAACTAAACTAATATTTACACCTATGTAAATATATGCAATATTTTATTACTTGTTAGCATATTGAGAAATATTATGGCACATCACTCACATCAACTACTATGTATTGTCTACATAACTAAACTAATATTTACACCTATGTAAATATATGCTATGGAACAATTTTTTTAAGAAGTGTATACCGAAAAATCTTTGGGATATGACACGTGTAAAATTGAGAACTAATTGGCAAGATTTCATATAATATTTTAGTCCACGTGACTCTTTATCATTGTTGAATTTTAATCCCAACGATTAGAAAGAAAGATGCATACGAAAACAAGGATAATACTGGCATCCTTCACAGGGAATGCACATATGCGTTTACATGCAGTGTAAAAATCACCTAACTTATTTGTGTAGATATCTACATGATTGGCCTTTATCGTGGAGTCTCACAAGCACGAGAAATTTTTTATTGTGATTAGAATACGGATGATACATCACATATTATTATATAAGTAGAGATAAATTTTATTTTTTAAGTTGTTAATTTTTAAACACAAATATATCACTACTTGTATAATGACACGTAATATATTACATCATACTCCGGTCACACTAAAAAATCTCTCAACAAGCACACTACAGATGAGTATTAAACAAATATCAAAGCACCCCAGTACAATGATGCGCATGGCTATCCCACTTTTCCTACCAGGTGCCGTCTATTTGGATTATTCGAGCAATTGTTTGACAACATGGCGGACAATGATGCATGGCTAACAAAGATGATTCCCTATCGACAGTCAATTTCCAAGAAAATCCACACACCGCTGATGGAGGAGAACCTAGAACATGCTATCAGTTACCGGCAAAGGTTCGGAATGGAAATGGATTTGGTAAAGATTCTCACTGCCTACACCTTGATTGACTTCTCATGCAACTAAGAAACGAGACCACAAAATAAACAGCAATTCATGTTAGAGAATGAATCTTACATTAATGGGAGGAGAGACCGTTCATGAGTTTATAAGTAAGTTTGGCTACTTCTAATATTTGAATTGTTTTTATGGTAGAACATCAACTTTTTTTTTTGTATCAGAGCAAGTTTGTCTTGTGGGAGAAGCCAAACGGCCACACATGCTGCATGTCACTCGATTTGTGTTGTCCACGTGCTAAGCTTGAAAAATTGTCACACGTGATGAGGCGTGTTGAGAATAAATCTCATGGTGATTGGATGAGGGATCTTGCATAGACTTTGAACTACTTCTATATAGCCAATTAGTTTATGACAAAACATCAACTTTCTTCAATCCAGAACCATGAAAATAGTAATTCGGAGCAAGCTAAGTCATTTAGATCAAACACAAGAGGTATGCATAAAAGTATTTGCCCTAAGGAGGAATCCTAGAATTCCGTCTGTATTTTGGGTTTGGAAAAGTGCGGATTTTCACGAAAGGAAATCTTATGATATGTTGGGGAATCTTTATGATAATCATCCATGCTTGAAACGTATCTTAATGCCTGAAAGTTGGATAGGATTCATCAAACCATTGGTCCAAATCATTAACTTTCATTAAAAATTTTGCTTGTATGATTACGTTTCATACATGTGGGTCTCATATATCCAAGTCTAAATATGTGATATGAATCAAATCTAAACTAAGATTAAAGTTCATGGACTAAATATAAAACAGAATAAATGTTCAGTAACAAGCTGTGCGTTTTATATCTTGCCACGCAATCAAATCAACAAAAACACATCGCGAAACATTTTGTTGTGTTCATAGATTCCAGTTGTAAATAAATGGTTCTCTTCTGTCCCTTCCTTCTCGATAATTAACCAGTTACGACAATGACACATTTAAACATAATTATTAGGTTAATATTTTGGGTCAAACAATGCTGGAAGATTTTAGCTCCTAAGTAATCCTGATATTAGACAAATGATTAGTTACAACCAACAATGTTGTTTAAACACGAGGATTTGTCAAGAACATCATTTTTCATGATCGTGTCACTCGATAAGAATTATGCACGTATAAATACAAAAGATTCACACATTACACGTGACAAGGCGCATTGGAAAGTCATCTCAGACTTGAAATGCGAGTATTAAGACTAATACGTAATACGCAAATTAATTTTGAGTCGAATAATCGTTCAGATCACATAAACTAATTAATCGACGAGAATATACTCGTAATTCAAAGGGGAATGTACATAAAAACCAGCAAAAATTCCAACTGAAAACACAGACCGCAGGGAAATGTGTTGAATTGAAACATATATAGGAAACCCTTAACGAGAAGGAATGACGCTGCGTAGATGAAAGGAAATGACATGGAAAATTTTACTGAGGGTTGGGCGGGCGGCTGTTGGCAGCAGAAACCCTAGACCCCCACTCAAGCAACTCTTTGCTGGTATCATCCTTGTGGACTATCACCTCTATGAAGCACAAGCTATCCTTCTTTGCCCCGGTTGCGGTCTCAATCGCTTCGATCAGCTCCTCTTCGCAACGGACCTGCAGAATTAACAGATTCGGTTACAAGGAGTTTTACGATCCAGGAAACCCTTTGGTTGATTAGTTGGAGGAATAGATTACGGAGACGATTAGAATGCATTAACGAAGTGATTACCTTGGTTGTCCAGCACTTGCCCTCCCCATTGTGGATGGCATCAACCAGTCCAGTGTAGTTCCAGTTCTTGATCACATTGTAGGGTCCGTCATGGATCTCCACCTCAATTGTGTACCCGCCGTTGTTTATCAGGAAGATGATGGTCTTCTGCCCATTTCGGATCATGGTGGACACATCTTGAGCAGTCACCTATTAGGCATTGAAACAATGAAAGCATAAACACATGAACAAAACATTGAAAAGACCGATGATTCGTGATATTGATGAAATGTTATGCTACAAATCTGAGTAATTAACTGAGTAAATTTGATAAGGTTGTTAAGGGTACTTTACAATTTAGAGAGTGCTAGAGAAGATTAAATGTACCTGGAAACTCCCGTCACCGATGAAAGCAATCACACGCTTCTGAGGAACAGCCTGAGCATACCCAAGAGTTGCTCCAACTGACCAACCGATTGATCCATATTGCATTTGGAACTCATACCTGCAAACCCAATTCCAACTTCCCAATTAAATCAACTATATAACATAAAAGGAAACATGAAAAACTACATTCTCTCCTTGGCTTACCCGCAATCAGCCGGCAATTTCAGTTTCTGGCAGTTAAACCATGAGTCCCCTGTCTCAGCAATCACAGCAGTTTCACTTGACAGCATTCTGGATGTGGTGGAACAGAACATTAACCCTCAAGGTTCTTTCGGTGCAGACTTTAGAGGGTGTCCATCGGGAACAAAGATCCTGCGGTAGTTCTCATGAGCAGTGTTGTTGTGCCTGAGCTTCTTTGCAAGAGCTCTGAGGAAATCCTTCATAAGAACACAACCAAATGAAGGGCCATTTGCTATGGTCACGCGATCAGGCTGCACCACAATGGCCTTCTCCTTCTTGATAAGCAAAAAGAGTATCCAACAGACTGTAGTCATTGAAAACGGTCCAGCAAACAAGTATGCATCTGCGGACTCCACTATCTCGGCGCAAAAGGCAGTGCTCACAGCACCCCAGTATGTTCCAATAAAATGGGGGTGGTGCTCTGGTACAAACCCCTTTGCAGATGGCATGACAGCCAGAGCATAACCACTAGCATCAGCAAGTTCAACCAAAGGGCATCGCCGGCATGTGCAACTCGAAGTTTAGGCCCACCAACCATAACCGGCTTCACTGCCTTGTTCAAGAAACTCTGCAGCCGCCTCCCACCGCAGCCTCTAAGCCCAAATTATTGCTCAATCTGCAGACCAAAACAAAACAAACATATAAATTTCACACCTAAAATAAACATTTCCAGAACGGTTCAACCAAATGGAATCAGAAACCCAAAAATGTGTACTTTGGAGATAAAGAAAATGGAACAGGATCCGGGGCTAAATGTAGGATGGGAATTCCAGCCAAGTTGCAGCTTATGCTGATATAAACAGGCTTGCTTTCTTTCAAAGCAGTTGAAATTGCGGTATCGATCATTTCATGCGCATCTTCCAGATTATTCACCACAGCCTAGTAAAAACCCACATACCAAAATTAGCAAACTTTAAAAAACGAACCAAGAAAGTGCAAAAAACCAAACATTAATTTAATAAATTCAAATGAATATGAATTCTTCAACAAATCCATCAAAACCCAAAAAAAAAATTGATTGAAATAAATGGCAAATACAAAACCAAACTTGGTAAATTCATGTACAACTTCCAGATTTTTTACCACTGCTTAGTGAAACCCACATACCAAATTAAGCAAAATCAAACTCACTAACTTTTTTACCAAATCTATCAAAACCCAATAACAATCATTGAAATTAAATTTGAACAAGAAAATAAACAAACATGGTAAATTCTTGTGATTATTTACCACATCCAAGTAAAAACCCACATTCCAAATTTAGCAAAACCAAACTCACTACAAATCTTTCACAAAACCCAATAAAAATCATCAAAATTCAACTTCCAAAATAAATTAAAAAGCCAAAATCTTGATTTCATACTAACCTGATAGCAAGTTACAGTCTGAAAGCATCTCAGCTCTTGGCTAAAGTCCGGCAACCCAATAGTGTGGTGAAGAATCCTGTTCGTCCCGTAATCGTTCGAGTTCGGCCCTCCAACTATACAAATCAATGGAAGATTCTCACTGTAAGCTCCGGCAATTGCATTGAGAACACTGAGCCCACCCACAGTGAAAGTAACAACACATGCGCCGACTCCCCGCGACCGCGCGTAGCCGTCAGCAGCGTACCCGGCGTTGAGTTCGTTGCAGCAGCCGATGTTGGTGAGTCCGGGCTCGGCGATGAGGTGGTCGAGCAGAGTCAAGTTAAAATCACCAGGGACAGTGAACACGTCGGTGACGCCGATTTGGACGAGTCGGCGCGCGAGGTGGCGACCAAGAGTGGCGTCGCAGGAGTTGATCACGGTAGAGGGGGCAGAGCTCTGGATTGCCGAAGCGGCGCCGTTCGGGAGGCTCCCGACGTCGGTGCACGCCGGCTTGCAGACATCGAGGGATCCGATCTTTGTGTCCATGGAGGGTACTGGGTTATGATCGTACTCAAAAACCGTTTTTGAAAACAACTCGGAAAAGAGAAAAGATGGGAACTTTGTGATGGGATTTGGGTTTTCTGGGGTTTTTGGAATTTGGTTTGGGAAATTGGTTTGGAAGGAGGAGGGTTTTTATAGGTGGTCGGCAGTGGGTGGAAGATACTAGGGGCGGTTTTTCATGGTCAAGGCAGTGGGTTGCAGTAGATTCTAAATACTGGGCAAATGAGTGGCGCGCAAGGATTATAATATCAATTAATTTTACGATTTTTTTGGTTAAAAATCTTTAGATTGGAAAGGACTAGAAATTTCTAATTGTCCAGTTAATCATAATATGCTGGTGAAATTATTTTTCCCAAATAAAAATATACTTTGTAGAATGTGTGTTGAGCTTGCTATATTGATATCACTCGAATAATAATTCTAATTTTTTTTCCTATTGATCTTACTAAATTCCTAATCCAATGATTTTAGATTTTGCTAATTTTCGATAGACATGATTTTTAATAGTAGGTTAAAAGATAGACAATTCAGATTATGTAAAAAATTGATGTCACGAATCCGCCTCTTTAGTATATTGTTATCTAAACGTTCAATTCTTTTTAAGACACGGGTAGTGATTAGGTTAGTTGGCAGAATACCTCACGTATAAAAAAATATGTTCAAAATTTTTCATATAATCGGTTATATGTAGTTTGATTATACGGAACTAAGGCATTATCATATGTTACGTAAAACCCTTTGTTTGACAAGACGATGTTATTGACGATGAAAAATTTTAGTTTTCATTCTCATCACATAGGTAGAACACTTTGTATTATGAGACCAAGGACCACCATCTTGTCCTAATCTTCTTTTTTTCCTTTGGTTTATGAGTTGGAAATGTCATAGTTTTTGTGTGTGGCTTAGTTTAGTGGCAAAGTCAATTTACTAGTAGCGCTTTCAATTCAAATATTGTGGCCATTACATCCACATCCAGAACGTGGAAGATTAACAAATTGTCAAAAAGGAAAATTTACTACAGTAATTATAACAACCAGCGGTAAAAAAATAAAATTACAATGGCGGTGGACGTATTTTCTTGGTCCTGAAGAAAATACGTCAACTAATTATTTGCTGTAATCTTTTCTTTTCCTAATCCCGAAAATAACAATTTAAATTGTAACATCTTGCGGCCGGCGATCAACGACACGTCGCTTTCTGATTAGTTGTCTTGGGGCGTAATTGTCACTCTCGTGGACTCAAACGAGAAAAACGACTACAAGGTTGGTGGGGTTGAAACGGCGACGTAAAGGGGGACAATACCGTGATCAAAGGTTTAGAAGGACCGAAATCCACGGTTTGTGGAAACCGGAGGAGTTGCTGGTAATTGCAAATTCGAAGATTTTTGGATTTCATAATTTAATTAATTAGTGGTATAATTAAACAAATTAAATTAAGCAAGTTGTATGCATGCACATCTCGACAGTCAGTGTTGGACACGTACGTACTAAATAACATGTTATGGTTGTGACGTGGCACTCAATCACAGGCATGAATGTGAGCCTTTTTGCACTGCAGTCACAGACGAGGCAGCCCTTTTTGTACTAAATAAATAGTAAATTGGACCAGGCATGAGAGACTGTTTTGAAAGCATAAATACGAATTGTGGGCCCTACACTCATGTTAGGTGATCAAATTTTTGAAAGAGAAATGACCAAGGTTCTAAAAAACGTTAGGCGCTAGTCGGGCGGCGGGTTAGCGCCTAGCGTCTAGGTGCCTAGGTGGCCTAGGCGGATTTAGGTAAATTTCTTGTATATCTTGTAAATAAGTGCATATTGACACCTAAAAAAATTACTGTATGGATAATAAAACAATGATAAAATGAAATTAGGTACACTATTTCCCTAATTAAGTAATTGGATGAACTTTGTAGTAAATCCATTTCATTTTGCAAATTAGAATTACCTTTCCATAGTATTTACACCATTGAAACCAAAAAAAAGAAAAAGACGCAATTAATAAAAAATAAAAAAAAAAAACGCCTAGGACCGCCTAGGGCCACCTAGGGCCGCCTAGGACCGCCTAGGACCGCCTAGCCCGCCCAGCCCGCCTAGACCGCCTAGGCGCCGCCTAGGCCCAACCCGATTTTTCCTCCCGATTTGCCCAAAAACGCCTCGGTTGCTAGGCGCCTAGGCGGCCGCCTAGGCCGTTTTTTAGAACACTGGAAATGGCGCGCATTCTGTTTAATGAAAAAAGTTGAGATTTCATCGTAAAATTAATCAGGAATATAAAAAGCGGTATAACATTTTTATAAGCACTTGCAACGTTTGGTTTTTCGCCAATGTATCATCATATTTACTTTTTGTTCATGCTCATATATTAAATAAGAGTGTATTAGGATAAAAAAAAAAAAGTATATGATTCTCATATTTCTTTTGGGTGCCGAGCATTATGTGTGGTAAAAAAAATTAGTATGTTACGGTGTATCTTATACAAAGAAATTTTCTATCGTTAGATTTTAATTATTAGATTATTGACATAGAATCTATCTAATGTCAATTACCGCGGGATTAACTATCATGCAATAAATAGTGATTGTATCTCAAGCTAATGAAAAAAGAATTTCAATAGAGCAAAGGTTTTTTTCTCCAGTCTCACATTCTCTCACAAATACAGATAAACGTCATTTTCTTGTCTTGATTAATCCGGCCCTAATTATAACAATATGACAACTTCCTATTAGACGACTCTACAAGCCCGATTACATAATGCACTTCAAATCAATCACATAATCATCATATAAAAAAATTAAAACGCCTGCCAATATGTATAATTAATTAAATTGTGGAAACATTCCTAATGCAAATAAGTCTATGTCCTCTGTAAGTGTAAGACTATCTTAAGAGAATAAAAAAATAAAAATAAAAAGCTTTGTCGTGATTAATAATGAATTGAGAAGGGTATGCGGTGGCGCCACCGCTGCCGCTAACCGAGTCACGTGACGTGACTGAACGTCTCTTAGATTATCATATTCATATGATGCACCGCAAGACTGCAAATAATCAAATTTAATTCAGACTTCGTCGGCAACAAAACAAGCCTTGAATTTGCTATCTCAATAACATTCCTTCCATTCTTTAACCGGGAATGTTCGTACCGGAGTTAGAATTCTCTTTTCTTATTTCTTTTTCCTCTTCTCATGATTTTATTTTTATTTGTAAACAATTTAAAACAAAATATTAATATGACTTAATTATAACTATTTAAATAGAAGAAAAAAAAAGATAAATTAAAACCGGAAGAGAATTCAACTCCGCTCGTATGTGCATGTACAAACTCACAACCAGACTTCACGTGCCCATGACCATTTGTATAAGGTGATGTTATCAAACTTTTCCACTAGGACCTTTTCGTTCTATTTTTTGTACTTTTCTTTTTAATTTCTAATGTTGTGATAATCAAACAGTTTAGTTTCCCGTTCACCATTTATAGTTTAATTTTAACTAAATTAGAAATCATGACTGTTTGAATTATTTTTATTAAAATTTCAGTATTTAATATAAGAAATAGACAGTTTGGATCATTGTAGAACTTTACAGGATAAAAAGAGTGGAAAAACATTCAAAAGAATAAGGTTACCATCATTCTTATTTTTCAAAAAAAAAAAATATTAAGAGGTGAGGGTTTGAAATATTATTAGAAGAGGAGAAAGTTTTGAACCCAAAATACATATGAGGATACGCACAACACTAGAATATTAAACCACATGCAAGATTACTAGCATTCTTCATAAGTGATGCTAATGCAACCCACCAGTTATATTTTCCCACCTCACCTTATATTCCCACGCACCACTAAAAATTGAAAAGTGAAAATGCTCCTTACTCATCCACCTTTATTCCTGAAATAATCTTGATGTACTTCTTTAATTTGAAACAAATAAAATAAATCAAAAAACCGAAGGAAAACTCAAAGAACCTAGCATTTGTATCCACCAAGGCACCAACCCGTCGCGACGACGACAAACACCCACATCTCTCCTAAGTTCCGCATCGGACCATGAACTACCGGCAAGGATGAATTCAAATTCTCTCCAGTCTCCCTATACATGTCTTCTCGTCTTCTCTCTTGCATTCATACTGGTTTTTATCAAGAAAAGTCCCACATAGATGAGGCCTCGTCTTTTTCTGTTCTTCAAAGACTCTTATCGTTGAAATCAAGAAGATTGGCACAAAAAGTTCCAGTCCGAAATAGTGAGTTATTGAGTATTCCATCTGTTTGCCAACAAAAATGGTTTTATTACATTATAATCTTTAGACGATAAGATTTATCACTTTTTAATCTTTAGAATATCTTGTTTTGTTTAAGGTCATTATACATTAAGTTAAATATATTAATAAAATTTAAAGTGGGTGTAGAAATAAGATAATAAATTGAACAAAGCACCACTTATCTGCATTAAGTTGAGGGAATAGTTTAAACTTGCGACGCATTTCGAAAAAAAAAAAAAAAACTCTAATCATGATGACAATTCACCGCTCAATACAATCTGATATATTAATAAATACAAAAATGCTACTTTTTGTCACATATTTAGTAACACATTTGTGCCACATTTTCAATAAAGATAGAACCCATATATACTTCTCGACCCTACCTTTATTAAAGATGTACAAACTTCTCGTTTCAAAGGCCTTCAAGAGCGTAACCTTTGAATTCATAATTTCTCACCCAAAAAATATGATAAACGTAGTATTGCTTTATTAAATACGTAGACGTGCTATACGCCTATAACAAATGAAATCGAGTAGAAGCAAAGAAATCAGCAAGACGCAAACGTAGTAAGTACTAAAGCATGAACTCAAATTTCAGACCTCGTCCATCTTATTTGATATTTGATATTTTCGGGTAAAATTTGGTCTTTCATTTCTGTTGGTATATGGTCCAGCCCATGATCAATGTTCTAGATTATTCTAGTAAGCAAGAGATGAGGCTGGAGCTTGCTAGACAATTCTAGCATGTTATTAAGTTGATGGAAGAAGCTAGAGAGTACTAGCTTCCTTGGTTGCAAATGGAAAGATCTAGAAGCTACAAGTATGTGGCTAGTCTAGATTTTTCTATACTAGAGGTTTGAAGAAGGAACTAGAAACTAGTAGAATGCCAAGCCCTCACCTATAAATATGGGTGTGATGTAACCAATTGAGAACCAAGAGTGAGTAGC